AAGTTTTACAGATTTTTAATAAGATTTTAATATAATTTGTTAAATTTTATTTTTATCATTTAGACAATTTGTAAAATCTTTAAATTTTGTCTAATAATTTTAATTATTATTTATTTTAATAATTATTATAATAATAAAATTGATTTATTTTATAAATTCTTTATTATATTTTTCTTCTTTTTTTTTATTCTTTGAATATATTCTATATTTTAAATATATTTTTCTTTTAATAAATTTATTATATTTTTTCTTAAAAAACTTTATATATAATGTCTGACAAAAAGTCATTAGTCACGTGATTATCAATAATTATTTATTTAGCTTTAAAACCTATTATATTAACTATTTTATTCTCTAGTTTTTTATTACGTATTACCAAAATCTTTCTTATTTAAACATGACTTTTAAAAGAAAAGAACTTTTTATTTTTTAAACATGATAAAGTCGTTGGTGCTTAAAAATGTGAAATAAGTAAAAGAAAAATTAGCAAAGCTTTAAACTATTCTTAAAGTATAATGGGTGATACTATAAGACATCTAATAAAATTAATGATCTTTAAATATTAATAAAAAAATATTAAGAAATTATTTTTTAAAAAACTCAACATTAATTAATACTTTTTAATAAATTCTATTTAACTATATTGAGATAATTTAGATCAGATTACTATATCAAAAATTATAAGCTTTTTAAAATATATAATTTTATTATGTCTGGTTCATATTTAGCCATATAATTTTAGCTTGTATTATGATATTTCAGCCGAAATTACATATGGTATATTTATATAAATATCATTATAATATCGTAATACATGTAAATCTAGATTGTAATCAAAAATGTTGAGAGTAAAAAAAAGGTTTTATGCCTGTGAAAAATAGTTGCAAAAGCAAGACAATAAAAGGTATATATAATAAATTAAAAACAAATTTTTTTTTTTAATATATTTATATGGTAATTTTAATCTTTTTTTAGTCCTTTGAAAATATAGATGATAATAAAGAATATAATTCTTCTGATAATGAAGAACTAGATATGAGATTCGAATGGAAAGATGAATATTTTAATAAAGAACGTTTATTAGTTAATAATATGAAAAATTTAAAATCAACTAAGCATTCACTTACATATTATGAAAATTCTGTTAAAACTAAA